GAAAAATTTTACTTAGAAAAACAATCCAATTAAAATATTTCATGAACTCGTTCAGACTTTCATTCCATCTTTAGCATGCAGTTCAAATAAAAAGGGATACCCCATTCTTGGAAGGAAAGTTTTCAAGTACGAAGAAAAATTTTAAAGTTGGAATGACATTTTTAAGATGGAATGAAAATTTGAAATTTGGAATGTAATTTTAATATAGAATGATTATTTAATTCTGGGAATTTTTTTTGTTGATTAAATCCTTCATATTTATAAATTATCACTCCAATGTTCGTCTAGTTCTAAAATTTTCAGTTTTATTTTATAAGTTTCCATCTAAATATGAGTTTTTCCTTCCAACTACATCTATTTGTTCAAGATGGAATGAAAATATGAACGAGTTTATGAAATATTTTAATTAAAATTTCATTATACTGCAACAAATATCTTCTAATTTATATTGGATTAACCTATTTATGACTGGAAATCTTTACTTAGAATGACAGTCCAATTAAAATATTTAATTAACTCATCCAGACTTTCATTTCATATCTAGCATGCAGTTTAAATAAGAAGGGATACCCCATTCTTGCAAGGAACGTTTTCAAGTAAGAAAAAATAAAATAAAATTGGAATGACATTTTTAAAGATAGAATGAAAATTTGAAATTTGGAATGTAATTTTATTATAGAATGATTATTTATTTCTGGGAAATTTTTCTGTTGGTGTTTTAATTTTTATGTCTTTAGAGTAGTGTACGCGTGGTGTGCGAGACTCATCCTAGTCCACCGACGACGAGTCGCGCTTAGGACCTCAGCCCCCTAAGGCGTCGATTCTCGTGTGGGTCCGATAGAGAAGTAAAACCGCACGTACTCCCTATGCTACAACGAACGAGAAACGCCATCGGCTGGTCCACCTCTGTGATTGCAACTGATTAGCTTTCGTACTGTGGACTGGTGGCTCGACGGGGATATGCCCACTAAAGGGAGGTGACAACTCCCGTAAGGTGGAGGTAAGCGTAAGCATTATCCTGTCGTAGGGGCTCGCAAAAGGTATGATTTACGCACTCGGTCGGAGCGGCTTGCGGAAGGTCCATGTGTATTCGCGATGAGGATCAAACCAACTCCTACACGACGTGGTCGGGAGGGTCCCGCCCGTTTTATGCGGTGCCGGACCGATGCGCTCGACAACGACACTGATAACTGGACCTGACACTGGCCACAACGACGCTGCCTCCGCTCGTGCGCACACTTGTCACGGTCCAACGTACGGATCGAAGGAAAAAAACACTTAATCCTTGTATAATAAAAAACAAAAGTTCGTCGGCAATTGTATCGACTTTATAATTATCAACAAGAAAAAAAAATCACACACATCTTCAAAACTGCGCGCCCACACACTCTTTATTCTTCCATCTCGCAGACAGTTGGTCAAATACAAAAATTCGCCACGTCTTGCACAACACACTCAATTTTTCGAATCAAACCTTATTTATGTCACTTGCAAAAACCAAGGCGGATACCCTTGTAAAGGTATTCGCACGGACAACGACGACGTGGGCCTTGTCATATCGACTAGTCATGCATGATTACGCAATGAGTCGCAATGATAGTGTACTACGTGATACTCAAAATCATACAACCCCCAATGATTCTGAGGGTCGCTTTCGACACTTAAGTGTCAGCTGACACGCATCTTGAGAGGTTAGTCTCCCGATGCTAGACAGTCCCGAATGTGATTGTAAGACCTACCTTCTTTTGCACCCTGCGCGAGTGATTGGTAGACGGGCTTCGACCCTTTGTGGAGGCAAGACACCCCTGACCTGTAGGACGAGGCTCCATCTTCGGAGGCCGTCAGACAGGTAAAGGGGTTTGACTTTAATAGCCGCCACATACCTCAACATCCAACTATAAAAATATAAAAAACAAAAATAAAAAGGGATCTCCCTTTTCTCTTAATACACATCTGCTTAAATCTTTACGTATGGTCAAAGTAGACCGCTTGATTATACAAGATAAAATTACGACGAGGTTATAAGATACGAGTCGATCAGTTTCACAATCACAATATGACTTTCTTTCAAATATAGAAATGATCGCAGACAAAGGCCAACTCCAAAATCACAAATCATATATGCCATCACACACGAATTCAACACCAATAGACCACACACCACACGGGGTGGACTTTGACCACTCTCTGCACTGATACCCCTTACCTTATTCACACAATTCCCAAACCTTTGTCCAATTTTCCAAAAGAAAAAAATCAGTCATTTTTAAATGGTCATTTAATAAAAGCCAAACTTGAAGTAAAACCCCAAAGAAAACATTCAAACTCATAGGGGATAATGTCATAGGTTGAGTCGTGAGAATGAGTTAAAGTTCAGTCGGAACCCAATTGATCATTTAGAAAATAACAGAAGACGGTCCTCGTAGGATCCGACTGAAACTAGTTCGATCTTGAATCAGAATGACAAAACAATACATGAAATACACCATAAGTCAATTCTGAAAGTTAAACTCTAAGTGCATGGAGAATAAACTTTCATATCATATCTCACTCGTTCCCAAAAATAAGTATAAACTTAACTTTGAATTCGTCGAAAGATTAAGCAAAATTATGCAATATCTTTCCTGTACAAGGTAGATAGTCAAAATTTTTCCTACGAAATATAATGTAACTCCTTAAAACTAAAAAAATTTTGACAGCACTCTCTCTAAATTTTTTTTTTCTTCATAATTTATATTCAGCTGAATATGAAATATGAAAACGTTTTTTGATTTTTTAGAGTCAAATTTGTCTAACTCTCTGATTTAGTACAAATTTGGGCAGTATTCCCTTTAGAGAAATAAGCTCCCAAAATTTATACAAAGTCAAATATAAATTCAAAAATAAAATTTGAACTCTGCCAATAAAATTTTTAACTAACTCTTTTGGATTTGTAAAAATTTCGACACCACTTTCTCTATAGACAACGTCTTTTCAAAATTTATATAAAGCTAAATATAAATTAAAAAAATAATTATGATTTTATTAAACTAATTTTTTTCAAACTCTCTGATTTAAAAAACATTAGGGCAGCACCTCGTCTAGAAATGTAGGTTTCCCGAATTTTTACAAAACCAGATATGAAACTCAGACAAAAATTTAAAAAGATAAAATTTTATAAAGACAAAATTTGATTAACTCCTTGGATTTACGTAAATTTGGGCAGCACTTCCCTTAGTGAAAGTGTCTTTCTAAAATTTATACAAAGTCGAATATGATAAATAAATTTAATAACAAAGATGCAACAAAAATTGAACTAACTCCTATAGCTCCAACACATGGCGAGTATCTAAAACTACTACCTATCAAAATAGAACTTCGGCAAAACTCATAGTCAAGCAAGCATAAACAACCAAGGTAAGTCTCTCACAAAAAATCGTCAAGTTGTTTTCACATAAGATAGTTCATTAATCCTCCAAACGATTAACATTTACCCATTTTACATATGGTGTGACACTAGACCATTCTACTTATAAACCATGCCTAACATGCCTTCTATAAATGTAGGTTTCTCAAATTTTTACTAAGTCAGATATGAAACTCAGACAAAAGCTAAATTTTATAAAAACAAAGTTTGATGAACTACTTGGATTTGCATAAAATTGGGTCACACTTCCCTTAGCGAAAGTGCATTTCTAAATTTTATACAAAGTGGAATATGAGAAATAAATTTAATTACGAAGATGCAACAAAAATTGAACTAACTCCTATAGCTCAAACACATGGTGGGTATCTAAACCTACTACCTCTCAAAAGACAACTTCAAATAAACTCATAGCCAAGCAAGCATAAGCAACCAAGGTTAGTCTCTCACAAAAAATCCCCAAGTTGTTTCCACATAAGATAGTTCATTAATCCTCCAAATGATTAACCCTTTACCCATCTTACATATGGTGTGACACTAGACCATTCTACTTATAAACAATGCCTAGCATGCCTTAGGCTATACACGAATGAGTTGCACAACAGCTCATCTCTTTTTTGGACATATGACTAAACTGTTTCGTTTAGAAATAATGCCTAGTCGTCGTGAACTGTTTAAATATTCAATGTTTAAACAATTATCTAACTTGTCTTCAAATATGGGTAGGGGATAAAATCATTCTGCTTAATAAAGATGCTCTGCTTACCAGTTTACTTCCAATTATACTCTTAACTTTATTTGTTTTCTTAGTGATATGGCTTAAGTTAGACCATTCTGCTTAGAAACAATGCCCAGTTGTCTGTTCATATGCAAATATAAATAAATATTTTCAATGTATACTCGTTTATTCAATGAGTGGATTCAGGCTAAACCATTCTGTTTGAAAACTGGGTAGCACAGCAATGCCGACCGAATTAAGTGACCGGAATATCCGGACTTATAATCCGACACCCAGTTTATCCGGAAATCCGGATAAACCGGAAATAGGGCAAAAAAAAACGGAAAAAAAAAAAAAAAAAAAGTTGCGCCAAGGGAGGGCTACCTGAGATATGCAACTTGAAAGTTTTTGACCATAAACAGTTTATTGGTATGATTGATTGCTTGCTTGCTTGATTGATTGATTTGTTGATTGGTTGATTGATTGGTTTCATTAATTGATTGATTTGGCCATATGAAAACGCACATAACCACACACACACACACACACACACACACACACACACAGTGTCACACAGGTACATACAAAGCCCGAGTAAGGTACATTTAATTCCCAAGTATGGTCCACAGGAGCACCGAAAGACAAAGTAAGGTTGTTATGCAACAAACACAAACTAAAAGTGTGGTTCACAACCACACACAAACATTGAGAGCCTGAGTGAGGTCCACACAAACACGCACTGAAAGCCTAAGTCAAGTACACAAAGACACAAACTGAAAGTTAAAGCGAGGTCTACATACACACATTGGAAGCCAAAGTCTGGTCCACACACACACTCAGAGTGTAAGGTCTACACAAGCACACTGAAAGCCTAAGTCATGTTCTCATACACAAGATTCTAAGTGCAAGTTATGTGTGCCCCTCTCTCTCTCACAAACACACACACACCTATCTCTATCTCTCTCTCACACACACCTACCTGTATGTCTCACAAACACACAAACCTACCTCTATCTCTCACATACACACCTACCTCTCTCTCTCACACAAACGCGTGCACGCACACGCACACACACACACACACACACACATGCCTCTCTCTCTCTCTCTCTCTCTTTCTCTCTCTCTCTCTCTCTGCAGCAACAGTCCTGGACCATCGTGACCTCGTAAGCCTACTGGGCATCAACAGCGTCCCCTCCAGTATCTGCGTCATCGTTATCATCTGAGGAGTGTGACGGAGCCTCGTACTCGCTCTCCGACCCGTCACCGCTGCCTTGCTCATCATCGTCGTCATCCTCCTGAACCTCGACACGCCTCGTCCTGTCCGCAGCACCACGAGAACGAGTCCTCACTCCATGCATGGATATGGGCGATAGTGACCCGCCCCCTATAGCACCGAGCGATCCCAACAACCTCTCTGTTGCTCCTGCGGCGCCCTGTCTCCCTCTACCCCTCCCCGATCGACCCCCTGGGGGGCACCCGCGTGGTCTACCCTGCACTGCAGGTCTCTGTGGCAGCTCTCGCCCACGTGTGTCAGGGACCTTCCTCTTCCTCCCTCTCGTCGAAGTGTTGTCAACAATGGCAGACGACACTCGCGTAGGGAGTGGAGGAACCGCAACTGAAACGACCGGTCCACTGCACACAGGATCCGAATGACTGCGAGCCACTGGGGCCACCGATGGAACACCTCGACTGCCCTGCGAATGCTGTGCCGCTATGCTCATGGATGACGACAACTGCCCAACAGGCGTCGTGGCAGTAGGAGACGATGTACGAGGGGGAAGAGTCAAGCCGGGTCCGCGAACCACAGTACGACCATGTAAGACAGGCAGCGGAGGAGCGGTATAGAATGACACATGCCGAAGTGCAGCGGAAGTCATCCCAGCTCCAGGACTCCCTCCAAGCGTCGTCGTCGTCGTCGTCGCTGTGTGCGGCTCCGTGCTCTCTAACGTACGAGGGGCCTCTGCCGATGTGGGAGCAACCTCCTCGTCCGTGGAAGGGGGCTCTATGTCTGTCTCGTGGCCCCCCTCATCCGTAACAGCTCCCTCCTGCTGCACAATACCTGTGCGTGTGGCTGTCTCCATCACACACGGGTGCCCAGTGTGATGTCCTGCCACAGCCTCCCCGATAGTAAGGGGCACCTCTGAATGGAAGGGTGCAAGAGTGGTATCATCCGTGCCCGTACACGCAGATGGGTCATGTCGCGCTGGGGACGACAACGATGTGGGAACACCCTCTGTCTCTCACGCCCTGTCATCCAACCTAGTCTGCTGCCTAGAGATGACGGTAGCGGCCTCCAACTCCTCCGCAGCGGGACCTGTCACCTGATCCTCGACAACGGGATGCGGCTCCTCTAAAACAGTGGCATGTGTCACACGCTCSTCGRTAACAGGAGYGCTCCCCTGCTCCTCAGGAACAGGAGCGCTCCCCTGCTCCTCAACGGCGGGACATGGCTGTTGTGCTACACGACCCGGGACAGGGGCATCACAATGCTCCGCTCCTGTCCCAACAACAAATGGCATACCAAACGATGAAGCAGGGGGGGGTGGGGCTACCACCTCCGCCGTGAGTGTCGATCCTACCTCTGTGGTAGCTGCACTAGAGCCTGCCTCACCGTCGAAGGTGGTCGCACGAAAGCCCGTATCCACACGACGGTCCTGCTGAACCTCTGCACTCCCCTCATTCGGTCTGCGACACTCGTGAATGTCCTTCATCATATGAAGGGTGTGTCTGGAGCCGTGCAGGTAGCCGTCCAGGTCATCCACAATGTCAAGGCCCCCCCATCTGTCCCAAACACGAGAGACGAGAGGATCATCACGCACTACCTTTTTCCCCTTCCCTGCTGCCGCAATCTCCTCGGTCATGTCCTTCCCCTCCCAGACGTCATCCGCCTGGTAAATGACGTCCTCCTCGTCCTCATCCTCGTAGTCCCTCCCCTGCAACAGTCGTACACTAGCACGATCCCCCCCCTCCTTGCGCCGACTACGAATCTCTGCCTCCACCTCCTCAGGGATCGTCATGCTGTCGTCATACACCTCCTCAGAGGCAGCGCMGACCTGCGGCTCCGGCGGATCCTCCACCATATCCTCCCAAACATCCACGAAACCCCTCCGGGGACCCGACTGAGCTCGCAGAAGCTGCATGTTCCAATGGATGAACACGACCTTCCGCAGACTGTCACTCGAGAGTTTATTGCGCCTCTTCGAGTGAATGAAGTCGTGCGAGGCCCAATTCCTCTCGCAAGGAGAGGCAGTGGACCACATAGCGAGCACCTTGATGGCAACTTCCCGCAAACGCGGGAAGTCGCCACCATGCGGATACCACCAATACGCGGGGTGCATCCTCCCCGCGTCCGCCTTCACCTTGTCGTTCGTCCACCATTTTGGCCTGGGGCTCGCGTGGGGATCATCATGGTGGAACAAGTACAAAGCGAACCACAACTTGTCGTGCTCCTCTGACCCCCGGCCATCGATAGTGAACCTGGATAAATGATCCAGCGCACTCTGCACAACCGTGCTGCCAGTATCCGCCAACAAAGACACATCTCGTCGTCGCGGGTCCACCAGGTATGCGAGCGCATGCGCTGGCTGCCGCATCATGCTGCAACGGTACTCCACCCTGTCCAAAATCTCTGTCTCCTCCTCCTCAGAAAGACCAGTGTCGCGAACTCGCTGTCTGATCCTGTCCACAAACCCCCACAGGGTGGGGGGGGAAGAACCGTCCCTATCCATGTCACGCAACAGACTATACGCCGGCTGCATGACATCCTGTACGCGGTGCGCACTCTCCCAAAACAAGTCGGACATCACAAGCTGTCGAACGGGGCGCTCATCCTGGGCTGCCTTCCCCTTCCATGGGGTGGAGCGCCATCTCACACTGCCCACAACATCCCTCAATATGCGCTCCTGATCGGTAAGGCGCTCCACCATCTGGAATGCCGACCCGAACCGTGTGTCACATGGTCGGATCAGCTCTAGCTGCCCTCGGCCCTTAAAGGAGCGATGATACGTGAGGGCCTTCTGAATGTTCTTGAAGAACATCACAACCTTGTGTGTGTTCTTCAAAATAGGGCGCACCCACTGGAAGCACGTGATGTCTCGAAGGAGTAGACTCAAGCAATGGGCCACACAGGGGAGCCAAGGGATCCGAGAGATGGCGCTGTCGGGATGGTCCTGCAACCGCTGCGCAGCCACCTTATTGGCGTACGCATTGTGAGTGCAATACGCATTGACAACGTCAACGCCAATATCTCGGATGACGTCCTCCGACAAATCCGCGAGTGCCACACCAGTTTTGTCCCTCTCCGACATGTCGACGGTGGTGATCAAGACTGACCCGTCCTCGCCTGCTGCAATGAAGTTGACGACGGGCTTGTACGACCTCATTGTAGCCCCGTCTGTCATCATGGTGCACCCTGTGAGCTTCCATTTCGCCTTCTTCGGTGCAACTCTTTCCGCAATCTCGTGGTAGATCTCATCTAGGAGCCGTGTGCGCATGTCTGTGTATGACGGTAGGACCAAAGCTGGCCCAATCGTCATCCACATCAATGATACCATAAAGTCATGCAGCTCCTGTGTGGTCTTGAGGTGCATGAACGAGAAAGGTACCCCAGCCCTGAACAACGCTCTCGCCCACAACCTCTCGTACTGCTGCTGCAAACCCCCACTGACCCAACTATCCAACCTCGTCTGCAGCATTCGACGATCATGGGGCACGACGACGCCCGATGGGCCAGATGTGCCCTCCGTCCTGAGCCACGCCATGTTCACTCCCCACCTCGAACACTGTCGTAAAGTGTCATCCGAGCGGGTCGGCTGTCGCCCCGCCTCGAGGACTCGTATCCTCTCTCTCAGCGTAGTGAGCTCGTCCTCTACGCGCACACCGCCAACCCGTCCCTCATCCGTCATGGGGGGATCCACCCCTCGGCCTCCCGACTCGTCTCCGTGGTCAGCAGCCCGGTCATCTGCCATGCGTGCAGCAGGGGTGGCTGCGTCATCGGCCCTTCGCAGGTCCTCCATCTCCAACCCCTCCTCGCGGACATCCATGTGCCTCTCTGCCATAGCCCTCCCCACAGGGTCCGTGATGGAGACCCCGTCTCTCGTTAACTTGTACAAAATCTCTCCTGTACGAAATCTGTAGTGCGCAGCCGGGCGGGTGAAGTGGTCCTCTGCCTTCGTCCGTGCCCCAACCAATATATGGTTGCACAATGTGCAACGCAACTTGTACTGCCCCCTTCCTCGTACTCCCACCTCCTGTCCCTGACGCACCCATTCCCATACCGCATGCTTTCCTTGCAGCCAGCGCTGTCGACTCTCATCGGCCTCCTGGAAAGGCGCCTCCCGGTCCGGGAGGCTGGTGAACCTCCCTCGTGATCCTGGTCGGGACATCACACAACCACCTCTCTCTCTCTCTCTCTCTCTCTCTCTCTCTCTCTCTCTCTCTCTCTCTCCATCTATCTCTCTTTATGTATATCTCTGTCGCACGTAATCCAGCATCTGAATTACTGCCTTTGATCATAACCTGCACAAATAGAAAGAAAAATCGCGGTTCTATTGGTCGTTTGATTGAAAGATAGTAGGATTGATTGATTGATTGATTGATTAATTGGTTGCTCAGATCCCGATACATGCTAGACATCAATGATCAACCCCAACCAATGTCGAACTATAGATCGACGTTCATCCTGATACATGCAAACTGGTACAGGTCAACCCCAACCAATGTCGAACTACAGATCAACGTTCATCCTCATACATGCGAACTGGTACTTCGACCTTGGTTGGGGTTGATCTGTATGAGTTTGCATCCTAACAGGGACTAACCTGACAGGGACTGACCTGACATCAATGACTTGGATACGAAACCCGACTTGACAGGGACTGACCTGACATCTAATGATACTTCATATATGTGAGAAGAGGCGAGATAGCAAACTGTGAAGTACCGAACTGGTACTAACAGAGCAAGAACCGACCATTCACACGGAGCAAAAGATAGCACAGCAGAATGCAAGACATCAATTATCAACCCCAACCAATGTCGAACTACAGATCGACATTCATCATCGTTGCAGGGTGTGAAAGCCAAGGATCCGCAAAGTGATGAAAAGGACCGAAATGAAGGAGGAGGAGGAGGTCACGTTTTTTTTTTTTTAATCAATCAATCAATCAATCAATCAATCAATTAATCAATCAATAATCAATCAATCAAGAAAAAAAAAAAAACGAACAGAACGAAAAAACAAATTTCAATCGAATCAGTGGATTCGATTGGATTTTTTTTTTTTTTTCGTTCGGTTCGTTTTTTTTTTCTTGATTGATTGATTGATTGCAGCAGGCTGGGCTCTGAGCACGTAGTAGTATCCCAAGTAGAGAGTACAAATGCACCGAGAAAACCATCCATAAAGAGCAATACAATGAAGTATTGAGCCAATGTCGAAGCCCGTAGGCCACACCAACACAGTATCCAGAGTCGCTCTCTCTGTTTGGCGCCCAGCGCCCAGCCTACTTTACCATACAGAGGGAGGAGAAGGGTAGGAGGAAGAGGAAGAGGAGGAGGAGGGGGAGGA